CACCTGAGTTTTTGTTGCTCTACCAAACTGCCACAGGGATGGTTCAGCTCTGGAGGTTGATCACAGGGCCTGATAGTAGCAGCGCCCTTCCTTCCCTGTCCTCCTTCCCTGCTTGCCCAACTGCTGTGCAAACCACAGCGCCAGGCACTTCTGCCGCCCCACACCCTGTTTGTCTGTCCTGGTCACTCACATTCCCTGGGGGCCGTATAAATCGCCCGCGGTTGCCCCTGGCAATGCCCCCGCGGCATCAGTCCCTCTCACGAGATTGGCCACTCTGTCCCACCGGCGGGTTTTCCTGGCTCTGGGAACCTGCCGTTTCCTCCCCGCACACGCTCAGCCACGGAACTGACTGTTGCTGCCACTGTGCTCCTCGCCAGCTGAGTGGTGATGACCCTTCCATTTCTGCTCAAAGAAGAGGGAAAGAAAGCCATTGTCTTCTACCTGGAAGTCATTCCTTTGTCCTTACATTTCCAACAATCACAAACCTACCAAAACATCGTAACATTGTTCTTTCCGTGTTTGTTCCTTTCTCTGCTTTCCACCCATGAACAAATTTAAGCTTCTACCCTTACCTTTTTTGTTGCCTGGTGGATGCCAGTTTCTGCAAAGCTGCTTTCCCAGGCCTCACCTACAAAAAGCTCAGGGTGGTGGGGTACCCTGTGGTTCCCAAAGTAGTGCTGCCTGGTCTGAGTGCCAGTATCAGGGCACTAAGAGTAGAGAGGATGCACGACTGTAGAGCACCATCCTGGAGGGCAGGGACCTTTGCATTGTAGTGAGTGACTGAAAGCCAGTTTATTTGTCCAGCTGCTTCCTCGGCTCTATCCGTGCCCTTTATTGCAAAGGCAGCCAGGCACAGAGACAGCAGATACCTGCTTTATTGCAGCTTCTTCCACTGGAAAAAAGCCCTGAGAAACGTTCCCTTGCTGCCATCGTGTGGTCCCCCGGATTGTTTCCTGCAAGTACTCTTGTGCTAGTGGAAATTGTAACTTCCCCAGTCTTTCTCAAGGCAGAATCTTTGGGAGAAGTGGTCTTAAAATAGAAACAGAATCATTTACTTCCACTTGTTTCTGGTCTGTTCAGAAGCAACTTATGATTCTTAATTCAAAATTATTTTATAGTTTCTAAAGTTCTTAGTCTTTGGATTGAAATTAACTCTTTGCTGTATGCACTTGATGTTCAGATCCTGATACTAATTCTGTTTCTCTATATATCAGAAGTGCTATTGTATTGCCATTTATTTTTCTGTGTGACTATGCTTCCCCTTTATATTGACCTAAATGCTGAATGGTGCTGCAAGGGATTATTTTCCTTTTCATCCCATGACTGGCCACTTTCTCATATCTCTTCCTCCTCTTGTTACCTATCAATGGAGATGGATCTAGGAAGTTACCTGGCTGAAAATAAGTGATTTTCTGCTGGATTTGTGTGGCAGTGCTGGCACAAGGGAAGTGTGTGGAAATGCAAGACCTGTGGTGGGTGCAGAAGGCAGCCTTCCCCTACCCTTTTTCAGGCAATCAGCCCGTATCTTGGTTGTGTTACTCCAATTGCAAAACTGCTACTTGAGTGGATGCAAAAAATGAGGCCCAAAATTAGGTTAAAATGAGTAGCTGATTTCTCAGTTCAGAGTTTGCTTTGCATTGCTTTTTACCATGCAATTAAACTGCTTCTCAGAGTATTTCTATTAGTAAATTTGGTATCTTAACAGAGGCACATTTCTCTTAGAATAAATATTCAAGAGATGATCCTTTTAAGATATTCGCATGGGTGTTTGTATAGTTGCACGTAATGCATTTCATGGTTTTTTGAGAAATTTTTAAACTTTTGTGTGGAAACTCCGGTTAAAGCTTTATGGTCTCAACCTTAAATGGAAAAAAGTTGTCTCCCCTCAAAACAAAAATAAAGTTTATGTGTCTGAAGGATTTTTAATATTTATGTGAAGTATGGAAGCACTGGAAAAAATATTGAGAAAGGTGATGAGGAAGCACCAGATGGAGCTGGAGAAAGCATCGGACAGCACTGGTTGGAAAAAAACATCTAAAGTTACTCATTCCTGAATCCAAATGCTGAGCGAGAGCTGCACACAATGCACACTTGCTGTTTCAGTCTGACCCTGTATCCCTGTCTAGCAGGACCTGGCAGACAAACAGGGTTGCATCAAGGGGCCATTAGTGCCAGTTTTGGGGTTGTTACTTCTCTGTTGGGCATTCCTTTGCATGTCATCAGCAATGAGAAAATGCGAGGTGCAAACCAGTACTGGATGTAGTGGTACAGTGTGTCTGTCCCCTTCTAGGATTTGCATCCCTAGAGGAATGGCTGTTTGATGTGTTTCACCACCTCACTTGCCTTTTGTAGCGCAGCTGCCCTGAGGTTGATATTCTCTACATGTCTGCAGCCTGTCAGCGAAATCAATGACTTGGGCTAGTTACAAGCCTGCTCCTATGCTGTGAGCGTGAGTGTCCAGCATCCTCACCTCCCCTCATGGCACTCTGCTGTTTTTTCAGCCTGTGGTGTCAGATTTAAAGATGCCACAGTTGAGGTTTCTGGTTTAGCTTAGTTCTGGTTTAGCTTAGCTATATTCATTTACATGTCTTTGATTGCAGTGTGAAAGTCCTGCTTACATTTTATGCCCACTTTTTTGTTTTGCCAGTGAGCTGGAGGCATTTGTTGAAGACCTGAAGAGGGACTCCACTGCTTCCAGCAAGACAGTTACACTGAAAGATGTTGAAGATGGAGCCTTTCTTTTGCGTCAAGTGGGAGAAGCTGTTGCCACCCTGAAAGGTATGTACTTTTCCTTTTTACTTTTGGTTCTTTTTTAACCACAGTGGCTGAGAACAGTTTTGCCTTTGATCTGGGGGCATTAACTTTCACTTCCAAAAGGATTTAAAGCTGGGATTAAGGAGCTTGTTGCATGGCCCTTGGAGAGAGGTAGACACTCAACTATTTGATGTTCACCCCATAATCCGTTTCTCCCCAGGGCTTTTATAATTTCCTCTTGAGCTTCACTGTTGTTGTCTTTGCAGGAGAATTCCCAACATTGCAGAATAAAATGCGTGCGATCCTCAGGATTGAGGTAGAAGCTGTGAGGTTCCTAAAGGAAGAACCACACAAGCTAGACAGCTTGCTGAAACGTGTGCGCAGCATGACTGATATCCTTACCATGCTCAGGAGGTGATTTTTTTTTTTTTTTCCCCTTCAAAACTAAAGAATTTCCTCAAGCAGGGCTGGAACAGCTTTCAGGTTTGGGTTCTCCTCCTCTCCCCAGATAATACTAAGAAATGCAACTTGCTTGCAGTATTTTACAGATTCTTCCTAGAGCCCTCTCAAAGGAAGTCAAATTAGCCTTTCCTGTGCTCTGTGCCATAATTCTGTTCTGACCAAAAGCCCCAGCCATCAAGATCTTTGAATTGAAACAAGCTCCCTCTGAACTTAGCACATCCAGCTTTGGGAAGTACCTGGATGAGAAAGCTTACAGAGTGGCACCAGTCCCATATCTGAGCTAATTCACTGTAGGCATTTACAGCAATCTAAGCTAACAGAAATATTCTCTGACACCGAAATGTGCATCCCCAAAAATGTAACAGTAAGAAATGAAACAGGAAAAGATTCTAAGTGGATAAAGGTACCCTAAACCTTCTGAAAGAAAGAAATATTTTTCAATATGCTTGTGAATTCATGCAAATTCTTTATTCTGTTCTTTGCAAGGAAGGTGCTTTAGAGAAAGTTGAAATATTAGATAAAATTTGTGTCCACTAAGTGCCAGTGTTTAGCTATGTTTGTCAGAATATATGAGCAGCAAATGACTTCTGATTTATATGAGGCCTTACGAAGCATTGGATTTAATTCTTACTCAAAACCAGTGAATCAGGCCAAACTGTCAGTGGTGGTGGTCTCAATTTTACTTCAATTACAAGAAAACATAAGTCATAAGCCTATTGTTGCTACCATTATTCTAAAGAATGTAGGATTGACATTCTTTCCATATATCCTGGAGCATGTGTACAATGAATTTGCCAGTGCTGGCAGATTGATAAAATGGTTTATTTAACAGGTCTTCTAAGAGCCATCACTTTTTTTTTTCTTTTTTTTTTTTTTTCATGTAGATAAACATCTATATCCTTTCATATTAGTTTCATTTTCTTAAAAATGACTACAGTAATTTTCTGTCTTGCCCTGTTTGGGAAAAAAAAACCCAACAAGCTATGCATGCCAAAGTTTTACCAAAAGTAATTTTTTGCAGCAAAAGTACACATTAAGCCTCATAAAGGCTGTTTCAGTAATAGAAAAACTGATGGCACTTGATAGCTAGCTACACTCCAAAGCTCATCCATTTCATAACTAGCTGCCAGAAATAGTTGACTCTTTACATCCTCAACTCATTCTACCCCAAACTCTTAACAAACAAGACCTACGTGAAGTATCATTTGAAGGCCTTGTTCTGGCAATTTGCCAGACTGCTACCTCACATTCTATGTAGCTACCACTTTTTGTGCTAATAGTCCAGGAACATCTTGTTTAGCTAAATACAGTGTATAAAATTTAAGTAAACTTATTTCCATTTTCCCTCTAAAATCAACCCACTGTAACTCATGGTTTGGTCAAAAAGTGCCAGTACATCTGTGAAGGTTTGTAAACATTTTAAAAGGCAAAACCATCCTAATTAGATTGGCCTCTTTGAAACTCTGAGTCCTTGACTCTGCGAGAACGCTATAAAATCACACAACTGAGAGCACCAGGAAGAAAAAACCCACCATTTTGATGTTTTTTATGTAGATGCTTTTCCTTTGCAAAAGATCATTGTTAAGTATTGCTGATGATTCACCTGTATGCTAACCATGTCCCACGCTGTTGTGTTCAATTTGGCTGGGCAGACATGTTACAGAAGGACTGCTGAGGGGTGTGGATCCATCCCAAGCTTTGCAATACCCTGCTATGGAAAAGGCCACTGCAGCTGACGCCCTGAAAAACCAGGAGGAGCTCAAGCATGGCCAGGGACATGCACAGCAAAACTTCACAGCAATCACATCAGAGTCCCAGGTGTCGTCAGTCAAGTCAGAAGTCGTCCCCTTCTCAACAATGACAGTCCATCATGTACAGAGCTCACCTGTTGTCATCCATCAGTCTCAACACTCCTCAGCCCTGGTCAACCATGCCCAGGGTTCACCCACTGCAACCAGCCACAGCGAAGGTGGGCCAGCAAGTGGCCACCTCTCAGCCACCTCGCCAGCCCCCCTGCAAGAGCCTGCAACAAGTTCCCAGCCCACACAGGCCACACCAGCACCACAGGTCTCTGTCAATGGCGCCACCATGCAAAGTCTTTTCATTGAGGAAATTCACAGTGCAAGTACCAGAAACCGAGCTGTATCAATTGAGGTACGGTGTGTTCTCTTCAACCAGTTGTCCTCTCTTTGGGTCTGATCTCCCAGTCTCACTCTTGATGCTGCAGGTGGGATTCTTCAGGTGCATTCTGGGGATTTATATGCTTAACCCCTAACTACACTCTGCATTTCTGAAGATACCCTCTGATTTTAAATGCAACAGGATAATAACATGTAACCAAAATGAGTAACTGGGGTTTTTAAATAACCTTTATATATATATAAATTAAAAATTGGTTTTTAGAATACCTTTTCTTGAACAATAACATATTATTCTCTGGCAACACTTGCATCAGTGGATTTCATTCACTCTTTAAATCTCCATATCTCATTATGGAGAGGTGAAAGTGAAAAAGCATGAAGTCCTAGAGTTTCACACAGAGATATTGAGAAAACTCACAAGTGAACTCTCATGTGTTATTACAGACATGCACTTTCATCACCAGCATGACATAGTAAGGCAGTTACCCAGATTTAAATTTTGCTTTTATTCCTTTAGTGAGCAGTGGCCACTGTCTGTCTGTTGTGTGTTTGTGCCATATCTAGCACAATGGAAGTCAGAACCAGTGTACAGTTACTGTTAATATATTCCCTCTAGTTGCTGACTAGATCTGAAAGAATCTATCCATATTGACCTATAATGTTCACACATGGATTTTTTTTTAAGGTAAGTGATCACAACAGAAATCAGAGAAATAAACAGATGCTTTATGATTTTTGTCTAGAAAGCTGAAAAGAAATGGGAAGAGAAAAGACAAAACCTTGATCACTATAATGGAAAGGAATTTGAAAAGCTCTTGGAAGAGGCCCAGGCCAATATAATGAAGTCAATTCCTAACCTGGAGATGCCTCCCCAGCCAGCAGCCCTGCCAAAAGGGGATGCAGTGGAAAAGCTAGAAGTTTCAGGTAAGGTTTGCTAGAGTAAATGGTACTAAAGGACTGCATATCTGGAAAAGAGAGGTTATTTTTCCTGCTTTCTAGAATGGTTTCAGTTTACAGATTTCTGTGTTATTGATCATCCCTGTGAGTATGTCCCAGAGGAATAATGCAAGTCCTGTGGACAGGATGCAGTGATTTTTTAGATGCCAGTGTGGGTAACCAGCTTAACATGAATTTCCCTGTATTGCAACCGAGAGAGTGAATTTGTCCTCTGGAGGTAAAGGCTTCTCATGAGCAGGAGAGTAAGAGTGCACCTTCCTTTCGACAGAGATGAGAATATCTGTATACTATACTATTTCTATATCTAGTATCCTGAGTTCAGCTTTGCACTTTAAAGTTTAGCATTACAGAGAAGTCTGGAAAGAACCACAAAGAGTTTAAGCACAAATGATCTTACCATCAGAAACCTAAAAAGCAATTTTTGTAGACATATTTCTTATCAAAAGAAGATCAAGACATACCTGAGGTTTCTGAGGATAAGGAGGCCTTTTAACTTTGCAGAACATGTTCCAACAAGATACAGCAATTGGAAGCTGAAGCCAGAAAGAGCCACATTAAAAATTAGCTGTCAAATTTTAACATTTAGAGTAACTGATCATTGTAGTTTAATTATGAACATATGGAATTCTCTGCCACTTCAAATCTTTAAGCAATACTATGTTGTTTTTTTTTTTCTGAAAGGCTGCTCAGGCACAAACTGTGCATGCTGCAAGACCTGCTTAAAGAAATCCTTGAACCTATCTTAAGTGGAAAGTCAGATCAGTCAGTCAGATCATTAAGTCAGACTTAATTATCCTTGCTAACTTCATAATCTTAAACTATAAATACAACCAATGTTTTGGATGAGTCCCTCAGAGGTCTGAAAATGGCCTGTGATGTTACATAGCTGAGTTGTCTTGGGGAAGTGGATAGATATCTAGGAATGAATGAGAATGACTTTCACAGTAAGCATTCTGGCTGTCCACAGCTATGATACAGCGATACCGAGGTTCAAGTTGAACATGAGTCAGACTCTGTCCCTGTAGCAAAAAAAGGGCAAACATCATCATGAGATGAACAGGAATATCTACAGAATACATTAATCTGCTCAGCAGTAGTGAACTCTTACACAGAAATTCAAGGAAGACTGAACAAATAGGAGAGAGTCAAGAGGAGAGTGATGATAATGACCAGAGCTCTAAAAAACTGTGATCTCCAGGAAACAAAAAAGAAAGAATTGGTTTTGTTTAACATGAGAAAGTGAAGGCTGAGGAAGGACAAAGCAATCTCTGAATGCATAAAAATCTGCTTAAAAAATAAAAGACCAACTTGCTTTGTGTGGGTAGAACAGTAGTAGAAGTTGACAGTTGCAACCAGGAAGATCCAGGTTCGATATTAGGGAAAAACTCATAATGATAAGGAAAGTGAAGCGCTGAAGAAGGCTGTATGAGGCAATGAGGAGGACGTAAGATCCCCATAAGTGGAGAGAATGTCTTAGACTACCATTGATCAAGAATTATATAGGTAGAGCTACTTTGTGGTAACAGCACGACAACGTGTCCATTCAGTGCTATTTCTTTCACAATTTAACATACAAATCTGTGTCTGAATTTCTTCAAAGTTCAAGAAACAAAGAAGATGCCTCAGCCAAACCTTGGATTTACCTTATTAGACAAACATGAGTCAGCTGCAAAAGTCTTACCCAGCTATTTAAGCAATAGTTCATCCAGCTCAGCAGTCTGTCTCTGACAGGAGCAATGGGAGATGCTGTCTGTGAGCAGCATAGAACCTGGCCACCTTCTGCAGCCTGCTAGTGCTCCCCCAGCACCTCTGTTTGATATTAGAGTGAATATCCCAACCTCCTCCTTTTCATATTCATTAAGGACCTTTTATCCAGTAATTCCTCTATACCTGTTTATACCATTTGCCTCCCCACTGCTGTGTTACCAAGCTCCAGATCACTCCCCATCCTGTGAAGAAACTTTCCTTTATCTATTTTTAAATGATCTTGTACCAGCTTCACTTAATTCTACATAGTTCTAATATTCTGCAATTTGGCGAACAGAAGCTCTACATTCCCTTTATAAAATCATGAAGGCAGTGGATAAACCTTGATCATATCCTGGAGGTCTCAGCCTGCCCATGGGCTCCAAATGGCAAACTTGCAGCCTTTCTGGTCTCTCCATCTAGGCCAGCTGCTCCCTCCCTATGCTTGTTTCAGTTGCCTTTCTCTAACTCCACTGTGTCCTTCTGGAGCTCTGAAGACCAGAGCTGCATGCTGCACTCAAGGTGTTGGCATGCCAAGGTTGGAAATAGCTGCAAAACAATGCCCTGGGGCTTGCGTACACAAATTCACACAGAATTTGGGCAGAGTATTTTCATATCCAGCATTCACACAGAATTTGGGCAGAGTGTTTTCAGATCCAGCATTTTGTTCTGGATGCACCTTTAGCACTGACAAGTTGTGGCTCCTTGGATGTTTCATAACATATATGTTTAAAATAAATTCTGTTGAACCTCATAAAATAATTTTAGAATTCTGGCATCATTCAGTGAGGTTACTGACTGTCAGCACAATTATCTTCTGTAGTGTTTGGCATAAATAGAGTATGTCTGTGAAAATAAATACCATATGGGTGCAGTGAGCTGTGACATCTTAAAAAATTCAGAACACAATAACAGAGAAGTTTTGTAACTCACATAGTTAACTAATCCACTTCTAGAATACAGTGTGTAGCCAGCAGATTTAAGGAGAAATTTGATGAGATTGACACATTTGCCTTCTGTTGTGCATAATGAATCCTGCAATAGTAACATAAATAATGGAACAGCAAAACTTTTCCTTAATATTTGATTAAATATCTCACATGCCACCCAACTCTTCTATGATTCAAGATGAAAATTTCAATATCAGTCTGCTGTAGACTAGTAAACTGAGCAACATAAGGAAAGAGAGACCACCTGCCTACTAATATAGTGCATAAGACATTTTGTCCATAAATTAGCAGGGTCCTCTGTTGGCTTTGCTGCAGAAGCCAGATAGATCACACTGCCAGAATATGTTGTCTCAGCCATTCTCCACACAGAACCCAATTAAGAAACTCTTTTTTTTCCCTATAAAGCACAAAACAAAGTAAAATTACGCACTTTGCACAATTTTGCAGATGACTTTCTAAATATTTCTTTAATGTCTTGACTCTAACTCATCAGTCTTGTTCAGTGAAAAATACAATGAATGTCTCTAGCATGTACATTAGAAATTAGGCTCCTTCATCTCTCTTTATGCCTTCATATGTGAGAATGCTCTGATTTTTGCAAGTGCTGAGTGATCAGTAGCTTCAGCATTAAAAACAGTTTGCTTATCTGACTACAAAGGCTGCCTCAAGGCAGGCATTATTGAGATCGTTTTAAAACATGTTGGATTTTTCTAGTGCAAGTAGAAATTTGTATGGTGGGGAAAATTAATTCCAGTCTGGCTGTGCTTTAGTTCAATGAAATATCTGGCGATGAACAACTTCTATTTTGTTCACAAAAGCGCTGAGCCCTTTGGCACCAAAGAAGATTCCATAAAGTAGCGGGTTTGATTATGGTTAGTCTGCAACTAATTGTTGATTAGTCTCCAGCTAATTGTATTTGTCCACTTACTCATCCCTCTGTAAATATGCTAGAAGAACTCAGCCATTAAAAAAAAAAAAAAAAAAAAAAAAGTATTAGAATAAGGTCTTTTCCTCAAGTTTTTTTCCTCCAGAGTTTTTTCCTTCCCATTTAGATTGGGGAAATAACATTGGTTAGTAAAAAAAACAGAAATCCAGCTTTGAAGTTTTATGTCTTGTCCAGTGTTGGTGCATTGACTGTGAGCAAACCCCATCACAGCCTCTGCTTAACAGCTCCAGTTAGAGGGATGTGAGGGGATTAGCCTTCAATAGCCTGTGCACCTGCCACTCACTATCAGTTTCTTTTGCCTGTGTTTCTTCTTTTAATTTCCCACTTGAAGATGGAGATGGATGAATGTCTCACAGGTGTGAAAGAGGTGATAGGAATCTTTCTGTCTTTGTGCTTTCCTTGTCTCTCACCCAGCCTTGTTTGAAGTGTGAGAAAAACTTTGGTGTTCTTGCAGTCAGAGCCATTACCAGTTTGAGGGTGATAGGTTGAGCCCATTAAAAGGAGTAGGAGTTTGCACAGGCCCTATCTCATAGTCTGCTAAACACTATCTTAAGAATTACTCTGGTTTTATAGCAGCAGATCTTACCTTGGGCTGGTAGAAGTACATCTGTTGTCACTAAAAACTGAGTGGTGTGTGTTGACCAAAGAAGTGGTCTAATGTAAAGTGCATGTGGAAATTCGCTCTTGTTGCAATCCCTCCCCAGATAAGCAAGGAGGGAGATAATACAACAGAGCATTTCTTTAAGCTTAAGCAGTTGAAAAGAACATTTGAGCTAAGATGGGAACAAAGATGAGACCGGGTCAGACAAGGGCTCTATCCAGCCTCAGGGGCCAGCCACTGTGTTGTTGGAGGAGTCTGACACAGCCCCAGGAGCAGGCAGTTATGCAATGACTTGCCCAGAGGGAATGCTTAACCCTAAACAGCTGGGTAATCCCAAAAGCAGGAGGTTTTATCTTTCTGGGTTATATTTATTCCAGCTGTTTATATAACACTAAGTAGCTGCAGAAAGGTCATTCTCTCAGTCTTGAAAACAAGCATTGTAAACAGCAGTGTGAACATGGTAGCTGGTGCCATGTATGTTGCTGTGACCAGAAACACACAGGGACAGGTCACAAGCAATGTAACGCTGCTTCTGGAAAAACTGCCATCCAGTGACAGTGGAGAAGAGGAGGTGGAAGCTCGGTGGGGAAGCATCATGATGGGGAAATACCAGTTTGAGAAACTGATCTTCCCTTGGAAGATTCTCCTAGGAAAGCAAGGTCTGGCACTGCTCAGCTATTGGAATTGGTATTTGAATCTTTGTGGGTTAGAACAATATACATATAGGGCTCTTATATGATAATTCAAAGGCAGACTTGTGCTTTCCTGGAATAGTTAGTAGTAAGTAAAGTGAAAACACATGCCTTTTTAGAAGAGAAGCAAGTGCAGTTGCCCTTGGTGCTTCCTTGCCCTGCTCAGGGGCAAGACGACTCATTGAACTGGAGAGGTGACATCTCCAGAGCAGTGTTTACATTTTCCCTCTCAGCCTTTGTCTGAACTTAGCTAGTTTTGTCCAACTATAAGAAAGATGGACAAAATTCTTCAGTTCCTCTCCGAGCACCCTGCTGGCAGCACCTTGCAGACAGAACAGAAATGTGTGCTGGTTGCTTCAGAATTGCTGAGAATGACCAGAAGCCTCCAGGTTTGGTGTCTTGCCAGAAGCCACGTCAGTGGCCACACTTTCAAAGGCTACAGGAGCACTATCTGTAAGCAGCTACCCAGCTGAACCTGCACCTTACATGCTTCTTCACAAGTGATTGATTTGCAGAAATGTGCTGTGCTGTCACAGTTGTACACCAAGGGCTAAAATCCAGCCCCAGTGATGTGGGTGACAAGAGGTTAGCTGAAAAACTCTGGGTGAAGTGAAATGATTTCTCTGTGAAAGTGCAGCACTTTCTGCTTTTGTTCAAGGTGTTTCCACTTGAATCTTGAATGTGTTTCTATTCATATATATTCAGCAGCAGGACCTTTTAAGACGATTTTTTTTCCTTTCCAGTTGAGGCAGGGATGCAAATACTTTTTTCCCCTCCTTCACCTATTCTCACTTTGTGCTGCTCTGTTTACTTGCAGAAGAAGTTCCTGATGGAGAACAGGATAATGACAAACTGACCAAGTCTCCACCTCCTCCACCTCCGCGGCGCAGTTACCTGCCAGGTTCAGGACTAACCACAACGAGATCAGGAGATGTCATCTATGCAACCAGAAAAGAGGCTGCAGTTGTCAAGGTTTGATGATTCAGACTTTAGGCAATCAGACTGTTGATGAGTGGCTGGCAGAGAGAAATGTTTCCAGGCGTGGTCTGTGTCTATAAACCACAAAATAAGTTGAGACAGAGCTACATCCTGGAGAGCTACTGAAACTGCTTACCAGGAAACACTACTGTTAGACCAAATGAACAAGTAAGGTTAGATCAGTTCTGTTTACAGGAATCTTGCTGCTCTTATCTCCTAGCTATGTAGAAGGCAAGTCACAGGCTGCTTTCATGTAGAATGCTAAGACGATTAAAAATAAAAAAGCGCGCCTTACACAGATGGGGAAGATCAGCTCCGATTTGAGAGCGTTTTTACAGAAATGTTGCAAATTAGTTTCTTTGGGTTTCCTTTCCCCATCTGTTCTGTTCCCTGAAGGACATAGAGGGAAGTCCAAGTTAGGAAGCTTTTTAATCTGTGAACATGCTGTCACGTCAGCAATATTGGTTGGTTTTGAACTGATGAAGTAGTGGTCTCCTTAAAAAGGAAGAGGGACCTTGCAACAGGGGAATTGCAGTAGTGTTGAATTTTCCGTGTTTGCTTTACATCAGGAGGGCTCAACTGTATTGTCTGTCTGTGCTTTCTCCTCCCGTTGTAGGAAAGCAGTGAAGATGCTGGGCAAGTAGCACAACCCAAAGCCCCTAAAGAGGATCAGGCATTGTCTCAGAGCACAGGGCATGCTATAGCATCAGTGGCAAAAGATGAAGAGGAAGAAGAAGGAGATAAAATAATGGCAGAATTACAGGTATGCCCTTTGGGTTACACATGAAGACACCTGGGCCCAATATAACTTCTAAGGCCTCAACACAATTTATAGCTCAGAATATGAAGGAAAGTGGATCTGCCAGTCTCACCCAGTCCCACTTCACTGCACTGGGTGGTACACATTTTGTAAGCACCACCCAAATTTTGCTCAAGAGGTCTGGAGCTGAGGGAGTGGTCAAGAATGTAGGAATTATCCACTAGAGGAACAAGTAAAATATTGGTGTGCATTAGGTGTGGTTGTCCCTGGCCTAGCATTTCTCACTTAGTACCGGATTGGCAAGGTGCTGAGAGTCCATCATTCATGTCAACATTTGTGGGAACAGAGAATACAAGCTCTGCTCGTGGTGGGTTGTGCTCACTTGTTCTGTGCCATGGTCAAGTGTTTTCTGGAGTGTTTGAACACTGAAACATTTGCTGTTCCCTGTTCTGTGACTGGTACGTTACTCTGACAGTGGCATAGGAGTAGTGCTCTCTTACTGGTCCTTCACTTGACATCGCATACACCAGTTTAGTTCAATGATGGCAATGCTGCAGTAAAAGACAACTATTCCAGCTACCATCAGTGAGATCCAGCTTCCCAGGGGCACCCTCTGTCCTATTCCATACCCACATGAGAAAAGGAGATGTGGATCAGCTTAACTGGCTATAACTTCTGTTGCTGGGGTGTTTCAGAGCACTTGTCAAAACGTGAGATGATCTTACTGTCCACCTGCTGAAAGGTGGGTTTGGTGCTGCCCAGGGAGCGTTTGCAGCACAGGAGATGTGGGTATTAAGCAGCAACTGTTACAAGTGATGGGTGCAGCCTGCGCAAGTCTCACCCACCAGTGCTTCCAACAGCTGGTTTGCAGGTTTACCTGCAATAGTTTGCCCTTGTCCCCTGTTTGTGCGCTAATGGCTAGTGCGCCAGGAGGGCTGGGGACATTGATGGGACAGGAAACTGTCACATTGTCTCTTGTCTCCAGGAAAGCAATCTGACTGCCTTGCAACTGGTGACAGTGAAATGGAGGTTAAGGTCTGGAAAGAGGGGCTGAGGGGAGCTAAGGAGGACAAATAGGTATGGTAGCTCAACAGGGAATGGGTGTTTAAGTGCTAGTTTTGGGGACAAGTAATGCTTATTTAAAAACAAAATACAAAAATATCAGGTGCATTTGAGAAGGTTGACAGGGTACTGTGTTTAGAAGTTCTGCTTTATCCAGAAGCTACAGGCTTATTAGTGTGATATTAATCATAGGTGGAATAATGGAAGATCAGGTACAAGATTCAATCAGTGAAAAAATAAAGGACAAACATAAACTGTTCTGCTAGTAAACACAGTGTAATGGAACACAGATCTGTCAAAGCAAACAGCACTTGCAGATTTGACTACTTAAACTGAATTGTATACCTATAAACATTTTTGTAAGTCATTTGATCAAACATCATACAACATTTTGATAAAAATCTGGCACCATGGAGTATACAAAAAAATTAAAATCATAGGACAATTGAGCGCTGTCTGTCTCTGAAAATGTTGCCTTTGATGCAAATGTTTATAGTCAGGTCGCACTCTGTATTTTCATCAATGGCCTGGAAATACATTTAAAATCTTTACTGTTTAAATCAGCTTAACAAAACTTGTGAAGCATGAGATCAGGGAGATGATAGCAATCACTTAATGGTCATAATGGTCATCATACATTCACTGAAGTATAAAGTCCCCAACAACAAATGTAGGCCAGACCACAACTGCATGTCTTGGAAGGGAACAGGAGTTGCAGTAACAAGTTGATAGGAGGTCCCAGGTCAGTGCTGTTGCCACAAAGTTAGTGTCTGCTTTGGGTGTAGGTGTGGGAGCAGGGAGTGTTTTTATCTCTCTGTACAGGATCAGTGAGATCAGCACTGGGCTGCTGCGTTTATGACTAAAAGTGTCCACTCATTCCCTATTTGAAAAGACAGTTAAGAATATGAAGGTTCAGAAGAGACTTGAGTATGATGTGAAGATACCTTCATGGGAAGTACCTTTTTAATCTAGCATAAAAAGGCATACAAATATCAGCTGCTATAGCACAAAATGTATTTGGACACTTACAGATATTTTGAAGCAAAAGTGATAAATAAACAAATTTCCAAAGGAAATAGTGGATTCTTCCTCACTTAAAGTCTGAAGGACTTTGAGGATGCCTTTGTAACTCAAAAACACATCACTGGTCTCACAAATGGGTAAGCTGGGGAAGTCCATACTCTGTATTATGAGGAGCAAGACTACTTATTCTAATAGTTCGTCTTAGGTACTCTGGTCTATAAACACATACAAACAGGATGTAATGGAAAACAAGAACAGGATGTAATGGAAAACCAGAACAAACTCTACACCCTGATTTTTGCACTGGATTTTTTCATTATTGTTACTTTTCTGATTTTGCATGAACATGCAATACATAGGAGGAGTATAGTATTTGAAGAACAGGCCTGAGTAATCTGAAATCAGGGATATTAATTTCATGAGAGTTGCCAGGATTTAAATAATTTCCCTAATACATGGCATACGAATACAGTCTTGTTCCATGTCATGTTGCATTTGACTCCTGTAAGCGCTCCTCTCATTCCCCTGGCTGACAGAGGTGTCCTGCCTGTACATCTCACCAGTGGCAGATCATGCCATTAGAGGCCTGCAGAAATCTCAGTCATGCACACTGAGCCAGCACTGTGCAGTGATGGTTCTGCTCCCCTGGATCTGGGAGCCTACTGGATGGAGAAGCCCAAAGGAAATGGAAAGAGGACAGCAAGACAAAGGGTGAAAAGTCCAAGCTGTGCCCTGGGGTACACACAGTGGGAAGCCGGTGGTTCACAAGCCCATATATTGGTGTGTTTCCAGATCAGGAGGAACCTGAAATGGACTGTCACCTTCTGGAGCATTAGTGAGGGCTGTCGCAAAGACACAGGTCTCTGAGTTTTAATAACAGTTTGTGTGCGAAGAAGTGGAGTTATGTAGCTCTTGCATGATGTGCCATGAGACAGACATCTGGGAGCTGAGTGGACAACAAGGGATGGGGAAGAGATATTAGATGTCTTCTTTCCTTTATTGAATGTGTAAGCCTGCTGCTCCCACCTCTTCCTCACATTTCTGCAGACAACATATAGATTACTTCCAGATGAGAACATCTGGGGAAGAAAATCTGTATTTCTGCTCTGCTTGTCCTATCCAGGGAAACAGCAAACCCCAGCTAATATTCACTGGGAATGGAGGTAAGGACGCACAGGGGAAGTGTTTGAGGACAGTAAATGGAGTAAAGAAAGCTGAGCTTTGTGATTCTTTTAACATATAAAACCTTAGGTTTAGTTATTAAGTGATGTGTGGTCGAGGCCAAAATACGTCTGATGGGGGGTTTGAGGTGATATCAGACAGTAGGAAGTAGGTACTGTCACAAGCCCAAAGTTTGTCATGGGCTTCCTACTTAAGTTTGAATAGTTTGCAGCACTCTGTGCCTTTGTTTCCCCATCTATAAGAACAGAAGTCAAGCTTGTCTCCCCGCAGGGGACATTGAAGTCAGCATGATGAGTTAGAGTCCAGTTGTGGCAGATTGAAGGGTCTACCCTATTTCTCTTAGTCTGATAGTCTAAAATCTCTGTTATCTCTTTAGCTTGTAAATAATATTGTTGAGCTGTAAATGTTAAAACCAAATGCTCTCTTTGTAGTTGGTCATCTCCAGAAATTTCTGTATAAAAGCTACTTGGTCTCCTGATAACCTGTAGTATTTATTTCCTAGGCTTTCCAGAAGTGCTCTTTTATGGATGTAAACTCAAACAGTCATGCTGAACAGTCCAGAAATGATACACATGTTAAAGACATAAGGCCTGGGACTTTAATGCATCACAAGGAAAAGAAGGTAACAAGTGGCGTTTGTAAACATGCCACCCGGTCTTGGCATAACCTTCTTTCCTTCAAAACTAATCTTATCTCTTGTGATCTGTTCTCTCTAACCCCCACCCACCACTGCCCAGTGGTTTCCTTCCTTTCATCTCTGTATGGCTCAGAAATGCTCAAGTCCAGTGTTATATCAATCTACATTATATGTCTCATCAGCAATTGCACAAGAGTTGCATGAAGTTTTATGATTCTCTGAAATCAGAATAGGATCCATCAGTTTCCACCAGAGATGCTCATGCTCCTCAGAACATCCTTCTAGTGCTGTTCTGGCAATGGATGGTGAAGCATCTCTCCTAAGCTTTGTACTTGTCTTGAGGAGAAATAGGGGCTCCTCTCAGTCTCAAGAGCTACTTTAGAGAATTTCTTTATTTTGCTTCAATTTATATTGAAGTAAATAGTAAATAGGTGCTCAGAAAGCCCATTCAGTTTATTGGAAGACACATTCAAGCTGGATAGGCCAAATTTGCCCTTACTCTGAAAGTCGATGCCTGAGATTCACTCTTCAGTGGTGGAACTTAGAAGAGGTGCCACATTTCTGGGGTCATAGTGAAGTTGGGGTGAATTTCACAGCTGTGTCTGGACTGGGGTTTTCATTTGAATTGACTGGTCTTAGTGGGCAGCCAATGTGCAGCACGAAAAAAAGGACAAATATTTCAGCCATATGCCAGTTTGCAATGAAAGGGGGTATGGTGGGGAAGAAAACACAGCTCTTCAGCACAGCATTTCAACTTTGTCATGCATTTTGTGTGTGTGTGTGTGCAAACTGGAAATAGCAATCATACCTTCTCTGATGTAGCATCATTAGTAGCTCCCCAAGGATTTTACAGGAGATGTTGCACTTCAACTTCGTTTAACAGAAAGGGAGGCGGGGGAGAGAAAATGACTCTGCCAGGTCCCCAAGGCACAGAAGAACCCAGCTGCCCTAACAGCTGTGAGCTGCATCTGCTATAGGGCACTACAGCTGTAAAGCACAAGGTGACAGCTAGATGGTGGTGTCTGACACATTACTAGCATCAAAATCCATACATCCTCCAGAAGGTACTGCCGTCAGGGCATTGCAAGGACTTGGCTTGGAGCTGCCCAAACAGCAGTTCTGGTCTAAAGCTGCAAACATGCGGCTGGGTGAGGGTACAAGTTCATGGGTATGAGTAAAAGGGAAAAATTGCTTTGTCGTGGAGTGTATGACAGGGTTACAGAGAAAACAAAAGTGTGAATGTGTCTTTATTTGTCCTTACTACTACTGGTGTCAGAATGAGAAGATCATATTGTTACATAAGAGCCTTGGTCACCACCCAAGACACTGCACATCCTGTAGCAGAAATGTTTCTTTGAAAGGTGCTGCCAATTAATTGCCATAAACTGCTATTTATTGGAATAACAGAGTCCAGGAAATTAATGAGATCTGGTTTTGTCATCTGACCTGACAGAGTGTTTACTGGCTTTAAATATGGAGCCTTATGGTTGTCATAAACTCATAGAGGAAAATTATTTTGTTGTGGTTTTATTTTTTTAATAGAAAGGCAGCAGTTCCTAAAATGAGATATATTATACAGTGGCGCCATGAGATGTTGTACTGATCCAACAAGAAGTGGTGCATGCTAAAAAAGACACAGAGCAATGGGAACTCAGTCACTGAGTCGGCATATCCACAGGCAACAAGTGCCATTAAATGGCCTGGCCTAATTCTGGGAGCTCTGATGTGTCATGGGACTGGGAGGCACTTGCCACTTAGCAAGTCTGGGCGTGAGGTGACCATGAGCCCTGGCATTTTTTTCTGATGCCTGCTCCCTGCTCTCAGCACGAAGTGCAGGCAGTGTCAGCCTGCCCACTGATGCCTCACTGGCTGTGGTTGGTTTGTGTGAGAGCTCCTCCTTATTGAGAAATATGAGAGAAGTCAAGGTATACGTGGAGCAGCAGCACAGCCTCATTACTGCTAGTAAGCCTTTGCAGAGATGAACTGGTCTATCACTTTCTCACTCCTGTGTTGTGATTGTGTGGAAAATACATAAGAAAATATCACGAGATGTAGAAACTGTACCTTGTGAACCTCTGTATGCCTGGGGAGTACATGTACTAGCCAACCTGTGGATTTCTGTACCATCACTCATTCATCTCAGCTGAGAGGGCAACTCTCCTGACTGATCTTCTGCACATCTTGACACTCACATAAGTACAATCTGTCCTTCTGGTGTGTTAGGAGTAAGCTTCTAGTCTCGAGCAATGTCAGCAGTAACACTTTTGGCTCACTGCCTTCAGGCACTTGAGGCCAGATTCATTTTGTCCTTGGCGAGCCGTCTTTTGACTGTAGATTTTTTTTCTTGCTCGTTCATAGGCATGGTGTCTCTTCAGGGCATTCCCTCATCCTGATGATTGGTGTTTATCCTAAGCTGTCGCTAGCACTTAGCAAACCAAGCCCCAAAGAAAAGCCTGGTATTATGAAATAGCATCTCCAGGGGACTTCATTTGAAAATAAAGAGACCCCTTAAATTTGCGTTGCTGGGAATATACTATTTTTGAGCTAGTGGATGACCTCTGTGTGTGCTGTTTGGAGTTGCTTCTATAAATGAATGTAGCTCAGTGTTTCATTCTGCACTTCCACAGGTGCTGCAGGGTGCCACTGGTAATTTTGAAGGAGTACTTTTAAGTTGCAGCAAGGATTTAGAAATGCTCAGACTGTGATCATATTAACTGTGATGGAACAGCACTGCTCAGGTGTGAGCAACATTAGAAGCAGCAAAATGTTGTAATTTGAAAATCAGGTTTTATGGGTACAAAACTTCTTTTCAGTGCTAGTCAGGCTCTCACATTTGGTGCTTTGGGGAGCCAGCGAGCCGTAGCGCCCTGCTGTGAGCCCTTCCACATCAAGCTCCCTTTGATGTGCCCCGGCAGAACTTAATCAGATACCATGAATCTTTTCAACTTCAATTTTACACAAACTAGAGATTTTTTAACTGGAAGCAGGTCAAAGTAGCACTGTGTCGGAAATAAAGCAACGAGTGTGATTTTGTGTATTCTGGAGGCCTTGTTAAGACAGGAGGTCTAGGTAACAACCCATGCTAGCCACATGCATAGCACAGAGCAGTAATGTCATGCACTGTTCTGCCAGAATTTGTAATTTTGCCCTGAAGAAAGACAGGAATCAGATGCCAACTTCAGCCATGCCTCTGCAGCAGTAAATGGAGTGGTGAGTTCACAAGGTCTGCGCTTCCCCAAGAATATGATTATTAATTTGGGGGAAAAAAAAAAAAAGTCCTGTAAAGGTAACAGCCCTGAATAACTAAGTAATCCAACTTTCCCCCTTAGGTGTATGGGGCTACAACAGGATCTCCCACAGATAGTGACCATCCTAAAGAGAAGAGGGAAGGGAAAACTGAAGAAGAATTGGGTTCTGATTCATCCAGCACAGCTGACAGTAAAATTGGCTTTTCAATGAATGACAGTCCTACATTTAGCAAGGGTTTGTTTGTAGACAGTAGAGACTATTCTAAGAAAAACCTCCAGAATACAAGCGCTAACCTGTCTGGTGTCAGTTTGCCAGAGGATGACAAACGAAGAGGGGCTCAAGATATTTCAGGATCCCATTTTCCAGCTGTTGAAACTGGGAAACAAAAGTCAAAGTATGGACTTTTACAAGATGCTCGCCAGGGTCTGCCACAGGGTGAAGTCTTGCAGGCCATGGGCAAGCATATCCCCATCAGCAGTGTTGCCCCTCTCATGAGGCACACACAGGAGGCTACGGAGCCTCAACCTTCCTTGCAGGAGCAAGAAGCTTCTGCAGTTAACTACAATCAGGTTGTGCTAAGACCCAAAGTGGCCAGAAGTAACAGTGTGAACAGCCTTGAAGAGACAGACTCTCCAGCTAGCTCTCCGAGTGAAGACAACCCACCCACAGAAAACATCGCCTTCATGATTACCAAAACAGCTGTCCAGGTCCTCTCAAGTGGGGAAGTTCATGATATAGTCAGCCGGAAAGGCGGAGATGTGCAAACAGTGAACATCGATGTGAGGAAGGACATGGCGTTGGAGAAGGGCATCCCAGAAAACACAGACAGTGAAGAGCCAGTGGTGTGTCTGGACAAAAAACCCGTCATCATAATTTTTGATGAACCAATGGATATTAGGTCAGCGTATAAACGACTTTCTACAATTTTTGAGGAGTGTGACGAGGAGTTGGAGAAAATGATGACAGAGGAAAAGATAGAAGAGGAAGAGGAGGAGGAAGAAAATGAAGTACATGAAATCTCTGAGAGCCAGAAGAAAGAGCTACCAGTAGTTAATGACAGAAAAGCAATCGCAGAGTATTCAACAGAGACTCACAGTCTCAACAAGCAGTACATATTTAACCTTCACTCTTCCTCTGACCCTGTAGAAACCAGACCTCCTGCAGAGGAAGAAAGCACAAAGACAAATTTTAACAAATACCGCCAGATCTATGGGCTAAACACAGAAGCAAACTTGGACTCTGCTGATCAGTTTGGAAGCAGGCAGGATTCTAAGAAAAAATTTAAGTTCAAATTCCCCAAAAAGCAGCTGGCTGCTCTGACGCAGGCGATACGGACAGGAACCAAGACCGGGAAGAAGACTTTGCAGGTTGTGGTCTATGAAGAAGAGGAGGAAGATGGAACCCTGAAGCAGCATAAGGAAGCAAAGAGATTTGAAATCACCAGGTCCCAGCTAGAGGACAGTGACAGAAGTCCTTCTGGGAAGCAAGAGGGATCCCCTGGAGCTGCAGTGTCCCTGTCTAGGACTGACGAAATTCGGCAGAGTACATACCGAACGCTAGACAGCCTTGAGCAGACTATAAAGCAGCTGGAAAACACCATCAGTGAAATGAGTCCAAAATCTATCCCTGAAAGCACATACAGCTCTGAGGGAAGCACTGTCCCCTTCTCTGCCCAGATAGTACCAGAGACCCCACCCCGAGAGCTTGTAGTGCTGGATGAGAGCCTTGCTGGCATAGAGCCCCCTCCGGCAATCCCAGCCACTTCACGTAAGGTACCTTAGTCCAAGAAATCCAACCTCCAGCTGCTTTCTAAAATCTGCAATAATCACCATTAAACAAGAGGGTCTTGTGATTTGTTTGCTTCCTTTCAGGTGGCTTGTTTGGGCTCCCCACAAGGTATCTAACAGCTAATAGACCGTTGGGGTTTTTTTGTTTTAATCTTTGCTGCTGATTGGTGATGGGCAAATGCAGGGGAGCTGGGTCAAATAATCTGCTGTGTGAAATGACAAGCATCACTGACATGAAATCCAGGCTGATAGTAGCTGAGCAGTTTCCTCCATTTGATTCTGGAAATTAACACCTGCGGTGTGAAGCTCCTGAACTTTCCCTGCATGTAGTACTGTAGCTTTTTTTTTGTTGGTTTTTTTTTTGGCGCATGGTGTGCAGTCTCCCCTTCAAGCACACCGGTACTGATGGCGCTTTCTCCTTGTCTTCCCTCCCTGCCCCTCCACTCGTTTCTGCAGGGCTCCAGCGCTGCCTCCCAGACAAGCCGGATGCCGGTCCCCATGGCTTCAAAAACTAGACAAGGAAGCACGGAGAAAGCAGGCAAACAGCACAAGCTGCAGGATCCACGCCAATACAGACAGGTAGTTTTACCCTAAACCCGGTGTTTGGATGGACATTTAATGTTGTTTGTTTATTTAAAAACTCCAGTAACTGACTGAGATTATACCAAATAACGGATGCCTGTCTTTCGAGTGAGGTCAAACTGGACGTCCTGGATCCTGGGGGCATGACAGTATCTACTGATCTTTTCACCATGCTTGTGCATGCATGTCTGCAATAAAACACCTGCTGCTTTTTTTTGTTATTGTTTCTTTTGTTTGTTTTTTTTTATTTTAAACTGTGGTATTAAGCTGTAATTTTAAGATGCCAGCTACCTGTTTACTTCCCTGTGGTGGTTCCTTAGGAGAGCTGGGAATGCTTTTGTTTGGAGAGTCTTTACAGGAAGCCTCGGTCACTAACCTGTCAGTGTAATAGGTGGCAGTAGATGCACATTAACTCTGCAGTCGGACATGTCTGTTCACACGTGAATAACCCAGAAGCATGGCCAATGTAGCGACTGGTCTATAACCTATAGATCGCGCCTTCTCACAAAAGCTTTGTTGGCTCTTTCTCTCTCTATGCACACTCTTCATTGGGCACTTTGGGTTTTCTACCAGGTCCAGTCCACAGCTGCAAAACTTAGCTCAGGCCTCGAACTGTTAATCCTTATTCTCTGTAGGGCTATTTTCCCAGGTCCTGTTGGTTTATCATGTTACTGGCTTTCTGACAAACTGTCTCCCGCCATCTTTATTTGCAGGCTAATGGAAGTGCTAAGAAAGCTGGTGGGGACTATAAGGCTACTTCCCCTACCCTACCTGCTTCTAAGATCCCAGCCTTTTCTCCCACTTCTGGGAAAAGCAGCTCAGCACCTGCTTCTAGCAGTGACAGCTCTAACCCTCTTAATCCACCCACTAAAACCTCTATTCCTTCCTCTAACCTTCTCGGTCCTCAGGCAGGTCGCATAACTTACTCTACCTCCCTCATCCCCTCTGTCTCTAATGGCTCCTCCAAGTTTCAGAGCCCCACTTACCCAGGGAAAGGTCACCATCTCTCCTTCTCACTACAGACTCAAAATGGCCGGCCACCCCCTCCTTCCTCCTCTACCTCCCCCCCCTCCTCTACCTCTCCCACTTCACTGAACCAAGGTATGAAGAGCATCAGGACAATCCACACACCTAGCTTCACCAGCTACAAGGCACAGAACGGAAATGCCGGCAAGTCCACCCCATCCACGGCCAAGGAGCCATCCTAAAGGCTGAGCACAGCACGCCTGCAAGTTCACCAAGGCTTTTTGTTCGTTGTCAAAGAATCCACAGCCAATATTTTAACCAGGGAATGTAACCTTTTTGCTGTATTGCTGGAGGCTTAATACTAATCACGTGCTAAATACTGAGTTACTACACTAGATTAGAGTGAAGCTTTTTTGTAAAACTGTTGCTGTTGTAACGATAAAAGAGCATTCTCTTCTCTTAGGCAGCACCTCTTACAAAAAAGTGCGAAGGTGTGTGAGTGAACCCGAGTGCGTGTGCACAGGGGTGTACTGAGCATGGGAAAATGTATGGTTAAAAATTTAGTAAGTTGTTTTGTATAAAGCTATTTTTCATTATGGGGACTAGAAGTGAACAGAGATATACTAAAGTGTGATTATACACAACTGTAAAACTGAAACGAAAATATTTTTCTTTTATTTTGGTGTTATTTAGCTTTGTTACAGATTTCTATTTTTGTCAACAAATGTCATGGTTCCTTTCGAGATCTTTTTGCCAAAACATTTTGATACTATTGTAATGTACATTTGAAAGTAGTATGCTGGACAGTAAACCTCTACACAAGAAACAGAACAAGACTGGTCTTAGTGTGTATGAGGCAACTCAACCTATTGCACTGCCGTTCAGATTATATTTAAGAATTTGCCAAGCCAAGAAAAAAAGAAAAATGTTTTACACATATAGGTAGTTGCTGATCACTTTTTTCTTAGCTAAATCCACTCTTTTTCCTTCAGTTTTATTTTACTGAGACCTGGTAACCCATTAATGTATTGCATTGTGGATTTTAAAATGTACACTTCTGTACTGTTCTGTATACTGGCAAACTTTTGTACATATCTATAAATATATATAAATAAATAAATACTGTATGTGGCTGGGCACATAGAGTAGTTTTACCACACCAAAGTTAATTTTTATGCATGCTCAGAAATATACATGGGGAAGGGCTGAAAAAGATTAATATCAGTCCAATAGAAAAAAAAGCAAGAAGCTTGCATAGCTCATGGTTTTGTAAATAAATTTATTTGTATAACACCATAATGTAATATACAGAACTATGATAAGCAAAGATCTTTACAAAAATAAAGGGCTGCATGCTTACATATTTCGATTTTGTCACTAATAACTTGTGTAATGATCTCAATTAGCTGTTAAGCTGATTGCCTGAGAGCATTAAACCATCAGGAGAAAAACTGACTTTATTTTCCTCAGATTAAAGCCATACATTAAGTATCAGTTTTAAAAGAGGGTCTTTCAAATTTACCTGGACAAAAACTAATTGCTAAAACTCCATGTCAGAAAGCTAGCAAGAAAAAAAAAAAAGGCACCTGATTGAATGAGGCATCATCTCTTCCACCTTTAAGTATTCTTTATTCCTCCTTGTGAAACTGGAAGTTTCTTAATAGCATCATTTCAAGGCCAAGCCCCCAGATGGTGCATCCCTTGCAACAGGAGTAATCAGAGAATGTAAACATTAATCATACCTCAGGACACACAGTCTAGTCCCAGCAGGGTCCTGCCAAGTGCCATCCCCTCCTCTGGGCGTGCGCGGAACACAGGAGCCTCAGCCTTGGGCTGGGAGGCCAGCCCAGGTGGCTCCAAAGCCGAGGCAAAACGTGCACACTGAACCACGGGCGTGAAGCCAGTTCCCCTCCAGCCAGCACAGAGAAGCAGTGGCTCTGAAGTCTGGTCTGGGAACAGCTGCTTCAGGCAGGAAGAACCTCTCAAAAAACTCCTCTCACACTGCACACCCTGGACCACCCACTTTCCACAGATGCCTTCTGCCACGTTGAGTGTTCAGTACCTGACTCCCTTGCTCTGAAGGGAACCAGCCTGCTTTAATGCTGTATCTTGTTACCAGGGAGGGTCAGTGCACGTCCCCACACAAGAGACAGCAAACACAGAGAGCACCATGAGGTGTTCTTCATGGTACACAGCAAAACTAGACGTTCAAGCTAAATAATAAAAAATAGTACTGATACCTGATCCTCTGCAACTCCATGACAGCTGTCCTCCACGAGTCACCGCACAGGCAGCCAGGGTCCCGGGTGGCAGACCTTGGCTGTGGCCCTGACCCTCCTCCTCTGGCCCACAGCTGCCCAGGGTGTGTGCTGCAGGGCAGAGGGGCAGGGCCGGGCGTGCAGCGGGCAGTCGGGCCGTGCTGTGCTCCATAGGTAGCAAACCATCGCCTGTGGTAGCAAACGTGGGAATTGCCATCGGGGAGTGAACACAACACCCACTCATGGCACATGTCCCAGCACCCACCATGTTTTGTGCCCCTCCGTGTCTCACCCTCAGTGCTGGGGTGCAGCACCCACCAGGAAACCAACCACAGTCTCGGGCAGCACAGGACCCACGTCACAGGCACCGCTGAGGGACCATCAGGAGCATTTGCACAGCAATGAAGTGTCGGGCTTTCCCAAACGCAGGCAGGGAAGGGCTGTGGGCCGGCTGTGGCTCAGCACCAGGAATGGCTTTGAACACTGCAAACCAGTTATGAAGAGGCAGTTTTGCTGGAGGTGACTGCAGCCAGTTAGGGACAAGAGCCTACTGCAATGCGGGCCCCAGTGCAGCCCCCGGCCGGCGAGAGGCTGCATTACGTGTTCAAAAAGGGAACGTGGAAAAAAGCAGCCCATCCTCCTTGCTGTCACCAGGGCACTCTGGCATACACAAAATTCCAGATCTTGGGCAGTTTAAAGACAACAGAAGTTCTAGAGAAAAAAACAAAACCAACCCCGCAGGGTACCACATCCCCAGGGTACCAGCCCTGCTAGCAGTTGTGCCTCTTCTGTGAGCAGCCATCGAGCTTTAGTTCACAGTGATCCTCCTGTGGGTTCAGATGCAATGGGACCTCACTGCTCCAAAAAATCAGAAGTGAAGCTGCTCAGCACTCCCTTTCAAGGTGGAAGGAGTTGGAAGGAGAGCAGGACCTTCCCGCTGCCTGCTGTAGTCTGAGCCAGCCCAGGACTCCCCAACAGAGTAAGCGCCATCCCTGTGTGCCAGCTGCCTGTACCTATGGGGACTGCAGCGGAACAGAACAGCACCCAGCCCCTGCACTGGTGGGAAGGCAGAAGAGAAGAGGATGCATGGGGCAGGGAAGAGAAGGGATGTGCAGACTTCCTAGGGCCAAAATCCATCTGATCACTACTAAGAGGCAGCTCCTGCAAGCTTAAAAACTCATGGGTTCCATCACAGACAATTAAGGCAGATTTCTACAGTCTCATGAATGTGAACCACAGGTCCATGCACCACTTCAATGATGGCAGGTTGGTTTTAAGCCATTTGCCCTCCCCAGCCATGCACCAAACCCCACCCTTCCTTCCACATGCTGGCACAATTAATTGTTTGATTACTATCTAAATGGGGACAGCATAATAATCTGGCTTTAAAAACAAGAACACAACTTTTTCTAGCAGATGAGGCCACTCTTCACACTCTCCTCCTGTCTGGACAGGGTGGAGAGAGGTTCTCCTCAGATTGCTGCAGACAGTAAGAGACCCTTCTGTGCAGCTCAGCAAAGGATTTTCCTTCAGCTCTGCAGCAGTGTGAAGGAAGTTAAGAAACCATCTGGACTGTGGCCATGTCTTAATACCACATTATCAGTGGCTGTGAGCGGTACTAACAGGCACTCTTAACAAGCCCTTCAGAGAGGCTTACAGTGCTGGAAGGTGCTGCATAACTGCTACCAGATCCTAGAAAAAGGATTTCAGACTAAACCACTGATCCCCACTGAAACAGGAACCACTGTTTGGAACCATTTTAAGAATCCAAATACTATTACTACCACCACAGCTCGTCCTTTTGTTACTTGCCCAACAGATCTCAGCTTAGACCTGTTCCTAATGACTTGCCGCTACACAGCTCCAAGCAGTCCTCAGACCAAAAGTACTTTCCAAGCCAGTCTGAATCCTTCTGATGACCAGTATAAAAACAACAAAAAAACCAGGCACAAACTGAAATACAAGAAATTCTGCTTAAACATAAAAAGCCCCTTTTTATTGTAAGCACAATCAAACACTGTCACAGGTTGCCCAGGGAGGTTGATGGAGTCTCCCTCCTTGGAGACAGCCAAAACCCAGCTGGCCCCAGCCCAGAGCAACCTTCTCTGGCTATGCCTGCGCCGGGGCAGGACTAGGCGATCTCCAGAGGTTCCTGCCCATCTCAACGGTTCTGTGACCCCATGGAGCTGCCCACTCCGCTGCATCCAGCTTCCAGAGGAAAGACTAGCACTAACAGTGAGCACCTTGGGGCAGGTTATCGCACGCATTTCCCTTCCTGCATCAATCAGACTGTCACCTTCCTCTTCCAGAGCAGGAGAGGAAAAAATGAAACAAAACAAAGCAGCACCACAGGCAAGGGTCTGATGTAGCTGCTGGTAAGAAAAGGGCATAGCAACGGCTCCTAAAAATGTCTGTCATCTCAATTATCACACTGGCTGGAATTTAAGGTGGCCCCAAATCTTGGCATTCTTCAAAGAGCAGAAGCATCATCAGTGTTTTCCCAGCCTCAGACACGCTGCCCCATGCTACTTCCTTCAGGTGGAGCTCAGCAATCACCTCTCCCTGATGCTCCCGCAGATTGCTCCCTGCAGCTCTGCTTCAGGTCAAGTGCTTCCCCAGAGCTTTCCTCCCTCCTGCTCTGCCTGTCAGGTTATCTCCTCCTAGATCTGATTTACATGGAAAGGGGGAGGCAGCAGTGGTCCAAACTGCTGTAATCCTTTTCTTACACCTCCCCAGATATCACTGACTTTTGTCCAAGCTCTTTCTGCAACTGCTCTGTAGCTTCCATGCAGCCAGGGCAGCAACAGAAGATACCATGGAGGCTGCTGAGGCCTTAAATTTGTACCTGTAGTGTTGTCAGCCAGTACAATTCCTGTTTTATAGAGGGTTTGGTTGTGGGTTTTGGTTGTTGGTGCTTTGGGGTTTAAGTTCTTAATTTTTCAAAAGATCTTGTGCTCTATTCCAGTCAATACAACAAAAGTTGTATGTTCTCAAGCATCAGAGTTGGCTGCCATACATCTAGACTCAGGAGTTAAAATAATTACTTATCTATAAACACAACAAAATGAAAATTAACCTGATCCATCAAAATGGCTGTCAAATCAGAGTAAGATGCAGACCCCCAGAAGCCCTTATGCTCCTCCAATAAGTATACTGCTTCACTGAGAAGACCCCTGCATCTTACTGTGGATGCTCCACACACTCTCACAGGCTTCTGAGGCTAACAATTGTGACAAAATATGCCTCCACCGAGAGACAATGGGTATTTTCTAATGAATAGCATTACAGAGATGTGACAACACTGTATTTTGAAATCTCTTGTTAAAATACACTTTACTATTAGGACTGAAACAAAAATAATCATCAATTACACTGTGTTTCACAAAACATACCCATTCTTCCTCACACTGCACACAGAAATGCTGCTGAAGCGCCAGCTTCCTGTTTGCTCTGGGGGGAAAAGACATTTATTTTCCAAAGAGACCACCAGAACATAATTCATTTTTACGTGCATTGGTACTAGATGCACACAATTATGTGGCAAGAACTTTCACAGATCTTCAACCGCCATATCCAATGCTTTTCTTGACAGCCAATTTTTATAATGATTTCTCAAAAGGATCAAAACCACAGTAGATCAAAGCATGGGACTGTTAGAGTCACCCTGTAAAGAAACAGTCTGCTTGCAACCACATCAGCCTACACATCCTAGTTACTATAGTTCCTACTCTTCTCAAAAACAGGACTCATGCGTAAGAGTAATTTTCCTACGCTCACTATGTTCACTGCTTATTTATCATCGATACAGTGGCAGTGTAAGATCTGGGAATACCCAAAGTGATGAACAGCTGCTTTGATTTCAAGTAGGTATGCAAGAAAATAGAAGAAAAAAATATACCTAGTAGAGAGTTCACACATGGAAGGGTTTTTAGCGTACAAGCTCATCTTCATAGTTAAAACAATAAAAAGTCCAAGACCTGTACTACAGTAATGTTTTGACTGGCAGATACTGGTATTCACTCTTTATGATTTGGGGACAATTATGGTTGTGGTTTTTTCCAGTGCTATAAAACCAGCATATTAAACATAAACCAACTTACTACATACTTCAGAATCAGATTACTTATCAAGATGGAAGTATGTGACCACCTAAACCCCTCTCTCTTACGCTAACATCCACGGTCTCATCCCATCAACAAAGCTTGAACGAGAAGTGCCCTTCATCCAGGAGCAACTGCAGGTTTGTGATCCTGAGGGCAGTTGCTGACTGCAACTTGTAAACATGACGTTTTAAAACTGATCATTAGAATGAATTCGCATCATGCAAAGAGTCACCAAAACAATTTTATTTCCAGTGTTTAAGTGGGTATGCACACAGGCATGATACAGGTTTGGATTCATTAGGTCTTCATGCAGAATTATATTCTCAATAAAAGAAACCAGTTCCATCCAGTATCCACTATCTACACGCCTATGTTACAACATTTATATCAAATCTGGTATCTGAAGAAAAGATACACATGTAATATGTACATTTAAGTTACTTATTTTACAGAAAGATTAAAAATTCAAGTCACATAAAACTCAAAATCTGTATTAAAACTGGAAATATAAAACTCCAATATTTACTGGAATGCCTAAGGAATGGAAGCTCTGTAGCCACCTGTGTTAACATTTGTAAAATGTAATGAAACTCGTTAACAGTAAAATGCATTCATTTGTTTGCAATAAGTTTCTCTAATTTAACAATATGGCACCCTAACAAACCAAATGAATTTATGATGAGGCACTTGTTAGTGACTAAACCAAAAGAACAATTTTTCTGCATACTAATGCCAGGCCAACTCTCAGTCAGAAAACCATGTATACACTACACAGCATGTTGCATCAGATGCTTTGTTCAACATTTGTATGCAGCCATCAAATATACTTTTTCTTAAAATATATATATATACTTTAACTTTAGTGTTCTTCTGGCTGTGGTAATGCACTGTGAAGACGTTCCACAGAGCATATTGATGAAACCAGCCCAAATGAAGGCTGCATAAAAACAACAGTACAGGAAAATATATATATATATATATGTACACACACACATACACACAGTTACTGGGAACTGTAACAGTAAGTTAATGACTTGCTGTAGTGGACATACCTCCCCATTTCAAAGATACTGGTAGAATCGAGATCTAACCACTTGGGTCCCAGACAGTTTATGAGGATGGGCATCAACTGCTGGGCTAAAGTTGCTTTTGTTCATATTCTGATAATTTTCACCATTTACCTGGTCTGGCGGCTGAAATGGTCCCAAAGGTGGTGTTCTATTAACTAAAGTCAAGCTGCTGGAAGAACTGCCTTCATCTGCCTGCATCTCTGCAGATAAAGGCAGATCAACCTTTGATACATCTGCTAAACTAGTGTTCTCAAGTCTGGGCTTTCCAGTTTCACCCGTATTAAGGTCAGTTGTGCTAGTGCGTAAACGTTCTCGTGCAAGCCAGTCTGAGATTGAGAGGTCTTGTGCTGGACATTTTGGCTTCAACCGATTCACAGCTGAAAGCTCAGATTCCTTCTCTCTACTTTGACTTGGCTCTTGAGCTTTCCAAGCATTCAGGACGCTTATTTCAGCAAAATCCCTCTGTCCTCCAAGTGTATGCCTTCGCCTGATATTTTTTCGCTTTGCAGTCTCTGCAGAGTTAGCTTTTTGATTCCCAACTCCAAACATGTCATCTGCAGATGATTTGAGTCGCAGCTTTAACCTGTCTGTAATTTTAAGTCTCCAGGTAGGTTCTTGTTTGTCAGTCTCACTTCTAGCTGATGCAGCTAAACTGCTTGTCGATCTTCCTTTTTTCATTATGTCAAACATTTTGGTCACAGTAGGCAAGTCCTTCTCACTCTTTGCATCCCCTGAACCCTCACTGTCCGTTTTGTGCCGTGCAGACTTTCTCCTAGACAGTGTGTCACACTCAATAAGTTTGTGTGAGCTAAAAAGTCTGCGACTCTCTAACTTTGGTGTTGAACTTCCCTCAGTACAACTTACTTCGCTTTCTTCAGAGTTCCTCCGACTGGTCTTTACCACTTCTGAAACCTTCCCCTTGGACAGCCTTTCAGCAGCCGCACTGGTGGCAAAGACAGGGAAGTCACTTTCACTGTCCGTCTCCATAGGACGCCCTTCGCTGATCAATTCACTTCTTTCATCATCAGCATCTTCTCCTTTGCTTTCTGTCACCGACTGCACCTCAGGGCTCAGCATACTGGCATCTAAACCAGTTAGGTACATATTAGATGAAGTAGTTGAATAATCTGAGGTGATGGAACTGACATCAGCTGCTAAAAACTCATTGTGTTTAACTTCAGGGTTGGCTACTTTTTTGCATGAGTATCTGTGCTGGGAAGCCTGGGATGAAGTGCTAAGCACAGTCCCAGAGTCAGACACTGTCTCCTCAACCTGGGAAGAAGATTGTGAAACAGGCATTTTTGGGTTATTCTTCTGTGTGGTTTGCAGACAGCTGAGATTCGGTGATTTTGTAGATTTGTCATGGTAAGGCAGTGAAGGTTCCTCTGACAGGATACTTTCTTTCTTTAATGTCTTCTTTTCATCCTTTACAACATTCACCTCTTTTTTACTGCTGTTCTCTTTTTCCTTCAGGACAAACATCCTCTGTTTTCTCCCTATGTCTCTCTCTCTTTCATATTCCCCTTTAGCTATGTCCTCTTTTGCTGTGTCACCACGAGACTGTTCGGCAAGCTCTTTCTTGAAAAACACATTATCCAACTCATCCTCTGAGCTGCTTGGTTGTGGTTTCTCTTTTGTTTTTTTCCGCTTGCGACTAGCTGCTGCAAAAATGGAGGACACAAGCAGTTCCTTGCTATACTGATCCTTTCCAGAACCCCAAGAACCCTGTTAAAAAAAAAAAAAAAAAAAAAAAAAAGGGGGGGGGGGGGAGGACATGGTTAGAAATCAAAAAGAAACATTCATTAGCTCAAGACTTTAAAAACATATCCCAAGCTTCAGAGCAGAAAGCCTATCTTTATAGAGGAAATATTTCCATGCTCTTCTGTCATCTACATGACATTGTCCAAGTCGTCAGTTTTCATCCTGAGAATTCCACTTTTCATCTGAACCCCTTTAACTTGTCAAAGACTAGTTTGTATGTAAAGCTATTTAGTTTTTGATTGACTAATAAAGCAGGCTCCACTACAGCAAGACAACCTTTTCAAGACTGGTTTGCAACAGAAACTGCTTCACAGATGAGGTCCCAAGAGTGTGGTTTCAGTCCGTCCTTTCAAGGTGTCTTACCTATGTGGAAAGAATAAATTCTCAAAGTATTTTCTAGTGGATCTTTCACCTTTCAGGCTGCCTGAGTTTTTGAACCATATTGATTCAATAGTACCAATATGATGAAAGCTATACAAACCCCTAATTTAGGTGCAAGTGTAGGAAATTAACAGAAACAAATTTCCTGCCTTTTGAGGAATCTGCCTTTAGAACTGCACAGAAGCAAAAATGGGACAAGCCCAATTATTCCATTTCATAAAATTAATTTAAAAATATTTTTCAACTACATGACGACATTACCACCTATCTACCTCAAAGCTACGCACCCTTCCTGCTTACTGCCCCACTGCCACCTTTAAAAGCAGCGGGAGGTTTGGGGCAGGTCCTGCCCTGTCTTTGACTGCTGACCAGTGCAGTGTGCACACTGGAGATGACAAGAAAAGAACAGCAATTATCATCTACTGAAAAGGGCAGTTTCTCACATCAGACACCACAGTGGGACTGAAATTTGACATCTGTCTAGGGCTCAACAACAGCAGCCTAGGTGTGAGCCACCTGATCTTACATCCATGCTCAGTCTGCCCTTCTGACCTAAGGGAAGCAGACCAGCAGCGATGGGCTATGCTCAAAAAGCATTTGAAATCCCCATCATTTGTTAGTATGCAGCACCTCAGGGAGAGGAAATGCTGAGGGAAGGGCTATCATCCTGGTAACAAAAAAGATGGGACATCATTACCAAAAGGACCATCTAGTGATTCCAGATACCTAGATAAGAGAATAAGCTTAAGTACAAGGGGAAAAGCTAATGCACACTAGTCAGAATCATCTAACTGCTCAGTTGTTGTCCAACAAGATAATTCTCTGCTCCAAAAGCACAGAATCACAGCCTCCATGTGACAGTGAACTGTCACAGGACGCCTACTACTGTAGTTTAAATGCACTGACCATACGAAGCAAAGCCCTGAACAGATACAGTGCATTTAATATTTTTGCTCAAACAACTTTTTCTTGGTGCAAACTTCATTCCTACTCACTATCTCCTCAGAAATTAAAGAGGTGCTGGCAATGGTGAAAACTGCTACTATATGACTTCACAAGCCAAGGTCAAACAGCCATACAATAATACAGTGGCTATATTGCCCCATGACAGCCTCAGTGAAGCTGCACTAGTTTGTTTACGTGAACATGGACAGGGAAGAGTTGGGAGAAACTTGTACTCAACCACCAGTACCAAAACTATTCATGGCCGGCCAGAACCTCCGGCTGCATGACAGAGAATATCCCACGTTCTTGATGCAGAGCTCAGAGATCACGACAGGGTAGGCAGAAGACAGGCGCCGAGCCTTGCTGAGAGCCCTCAGGGAAACAAGCATCTGAGAAGCCTATGCAGTGACTACCTGGCCTCCTGCACAGTGACCGCCTGCAGGCAGCGCAGACAACCTTCTGGACAGCTCTGAATTGCTGTGCTGGCAGAGAAGCACCAATCCAAAATGACTGGCAATGGCCCACTGGGTGTTGGGGCCTACTGTTTTCCAAGTGACCGCAGCAATTCTTCTCACTACTCAGATGGCACTCTTACATTAGCTACTGTCCCCATAAAGGATCAGTGAACTCTGTGCATTTTTCCATGGGTTAGGAACTAGTATGTGTCCTTCTCACCAAGAAGGATATCAAGCAATGCAGCCAGCTGGAGTTCCACTTGAAACATGCCCTGCTGCAAGCAGGGCTGGCTGACCAGGCTTCTGGTCCAGGCAATCTGCATGCATGGGGAGCGGGTGAAGGAACTGGGATTGTTTAGTCTGGAGAAGAGGAAGCTTGAGGGAGGACTTATTGCTCTCTACAACTACCTGAAAGGAGGCTGTAGCGAGGTGGAGGTCAGTCTCTTCTCTCAGGTAAGAAGTGATAGGATGAGAAGTAACGGCCTCAAGTTGCGCTCGGGGAGGTTCAGATTGGATATTAGGAAGAATTTTTTCTCCAAAGGAGTGGTCAGACATTGGAACAGGCTTCCCAGGGAAGTGGTGGAGTCACCATCTCTGGAGGTGTTCAAGAAATGTGCAGATGTAGCACTCAGGGATATAGTTTAGTGGGCAAGGTTGTGACGGCTGGACTGGATGATCTTAGAGGTCATTTCCAACCTTAATAATTCTGTGATTTTTGAGATCCTTCACTGCTGCTCGCAGGCCCGTGACTGTGGCCTGCCTGATGCTGTTGCTCTGTGCTGCTTGCAGGTGGCGGTCAGTGAGACACAACCTGCAAACAGCTCATGGCTGTCCTGGCACAGGCAATGTGACATGGTGTCCTGGCGGTCGGGCTTTTTTGAGGCAGTGGCTGAGCCACTGTCCTGGTTTTGCTAGCATCCTCCCAAAGCAGCTGGGCTGGCATCTCCACAACAAACCAGAAAGATGCATTAAGTCCTGTCCTCAGCTCCAAGGGGGGCATCAGTGATACACCTAGAATGCTCACCAGCATAAAGCTGTCCCATGCGCTCGGAGATGACTGAGGTCAGCTGCACGCTGCTGTATCAGCCAGTGCTACAGACATCCAGTGCTCGCAACTAGTGAATGACAGCCTAAGAGACTGAAAGATTTGTGCATGGGTCAGATGAGAACTCCAACGTTAAACTGAGGACGGAACTACTGCCCGTGTTCCAGTCTTACTCCACCCATGTACTAGGCTGTCCTCCCAAGCACAGCAATACCTAGGGAGATTTTACATAGCAACCTTTAACCACAAGCTTTGGCTTCTTATATGAGAAGCAACTATGACTTTCTGAGGAAGAGAAGGATAAATTCTATGAACACTTTTCACAACGGAACAAGGCAGCACAAATACTGTCTGGGACTAAGTAGTATGCCAACAACAACGGGAACATACTATATACATTTACCTCTACTAAATGAGATGCAAAACGGAAGTAAGCACTCACAATTACAAGAGTTTGGAACAAAGCTGTTTATGCATGCAGCTGACTGCTCTGGCAGATGCAGCTAACTGCAAACAAGTGATACTTTTCCAATGTAACAATTTAAAATTATTTGATGAGAAAACAGTATTACCACTTATTTTAAAAATTCTACATAAGCTTTACAGTACATCTGCATATAAGCATTTTAATAAAGCAGGCAAATATCTAACAGATTCAGAAACTTTATAACTACATCATTTCACAAAATTACTTACCTTAGATTTTGCTGAGTCACTAGTAGCTGAATCTGTGGAAAAATAATTAAAAAAAATATCTGCTCAGTTCTGTGCAATTTTGTTGTTGTTGCTACAGACAATACTGGACTTATGGAAAAAGACAAGCACAGAACAAAATGTGAAGCAAATAAAAACCAGAACAGTGAATAGTCAGAGCTCACAAAGATGCAAGCTGCACCACAGAAAGCCACCGCCATGAAAGGATGCTGTGAATTGTAGGCAGAACCAGCTCAATGATAGGAATGGCAAAGGAGCCCTGTTCTTCTAAATAAAAAACAGAAATACTAATATTTATTCAATGTTTTAAGTATACAGCCCCTGCAAAACCGCAGCTGAGAGACCTTTTCAGTATAGTACTGTGTACTCTCCTGAGATTCAGGATACACAAAGCAAAATTGCATGTCTTAGTACTGTTGACTGCCCTAGATGCAAATCATGGTTCATGTAGTCATATTGTTTTAGTGAGGTTTTAAAGGAATTAAGTAATATTTTGTGTGTAAAACCCCAATTATACATTTCTCTCCACCTCTGACTACGTATTGGTAAAATTTTATTTGCTAGATTTCAGCAGCTACCAGTTTTGTACTTTTCTATAACAAGCGCTATTATGAAATGAAAAATGGACACCATAGTTTTACTGTCTTGCAAAACCCAAGATTATACAATTATAAAGGGGGTAGGAAGGGGCTAGCACAATGACTAAAAATATGAACTTGGATGTGTTCCAGCTTTAGGGACTTTCTCCCTAGGAAGAAAGAGCTGAGCCCCCTGCCACACCCCTTTTTGACACATGGCTAATGCTTTATGACTAGAAAGACTGGTAGACCATACCATGCTATTTCTCCTCAGGGTCTGCTTCAGAGATAACAAGAAACAGCAGAAAAACTTTTAAAAAGTAGCATTGATCTGTTTAAAATACTCTTAAAAGAAAATTTACAGCACAGATCAACTTTTTTTTTTTTTCCATTTACAAGAAACGGGGGTTTCTGCAGACAAGGCAGCTACAGTGTGGGCAACAGTCCTCCTTCTTCCTACAGTTCCAGCTGTCCATCAGTGACATCACAGAATCCACTAATGACATCACCGTGTGATAGACTCCTCCCACTTCGCCTGTTACAACATCAGTACAAAGTGACTGTTTCAGTAAGTGCTGAACAACCCTTTGAAAACTGAAACAAGAGCTAGAGATGAAGGGATAACATTTGTGGGATACAACATGCTGGGTTAGTGCAATAGTATAGTGAAGGGAGGGGGGGAAAAAGTCACCAAAAAATAGCCTGCAACGCTTGTCCTTAGCCACAAAAGAGGATGGCATTTATAAACAGAAGGAAATCAGCTTTAGTATAGACATACTGCAACATACTTATTAAAGTGTCCATCACTTAACAAGAAAACATAACTCAATTTTTGCATTCCTAATGCTGGGAAGGAGCAATATTAGAACACCACTGAAGATCAGTCTTTCTGCCATCACAACAAACCACTTTACAGCAGCATATCTGCTTCACCTCACGATGATGATTGCATGAGTTACTGTGAATAAATAAAATAGTATGTGCAAGCCTCATCTTTTAATGATTATATTCCTGTTAGATAACAAAATCTTCCAAATAATATCATGCATGATTATCAACAATTCAAGTCTTTAGGAAGTGTTAATGATCTTTTTGGAAAAGAGAGAAACAGTTTATTAGTAAAAGAAAATAGGAATAGAGAGTTACAGTGAGTTAACAGAGTAGGCTATTTATTCTAGCCTACGGACTAACACTGTCCGGGCAAGAGTTACCTGATACGTCTCCAGGAGATACTCCCGTTCTTCCAATGTTGGTGAGTAAGTGATCTATGTTTGGCACTGGCTGAGATTCTACAGTGTTTTCCTCCTGAACTGTTGTCTATAGTTAATAAACAAAGATCTCTTCATCATCGTTTCACAAATAATTCATTATGATTCAACAGCATTTAGAAAACTGCATTATTCACCTGAGGACACACTTTCCTCACATGTTCTTATTTTCCCATTTTGCTTTACGCTTTTAAAACAAATGCATGGCTTTAAAAAAAAAAAACACTACTGCAAGGAAAGGAGAGCTAAAATGGTGCTTCTGAAGAGCAAACCATACAGTGATGTAATAAATATATAAACATTCTCGAGGCAGCAGAAGCAGATTCTAAACTAAGGTAATTGCAACACAAATATTTATGACACAATACTTACAAGAGGTTCTTCAGCATCATCTTCTGTGAAAAACCAGTCATGCTACAATTTAAAATAAAAAAGGTGAAAACCCCACAGGAAACACAAAACTCAAATGTGGAACAAACAAACATGGACATTACTAAAAACAATATCCTGGAGTTCGAAGGCTAAATACCAGACCCAAACTGGCCCAATAAGAGAAAAGCTGATCGATCTGAGTACCATCTTATTTTTTAAATAATGAAACGCATCCACTTACTTTTTGGATGAGGGTTTCTACAATTTTATATTGGTCTGGCATATGCGTAACCATGTGTGTCATGTTATCATCAGATGTCCTCACGAGTGTTGGACCAAATACTATTGCCAGGTTTCTTGGTTCCATCTAAGAAATGAAATATTTCCACATCACACATTTATAACAAGAAAATACAATAATATGGGCTCAATAAAGTAATATAACACTATTAACATCTGAGAATAATTTTAAATAAGAACAAAGAAAAGGCTTTTAAAAACATATTACTGACTCAGATAGGATGTTACACTACACTAAAACTCTCCTACACACAGTTGCAATATATGCATCCAACATTTCTGCAACTCAGAATTCAACTTCCTTAACCCACTGCAAGTAAGTAGTTCCACAAGCACAGAATACTTCAAGAACTTGGATATAGTCTTTACTCTTTCAGGGGGATTTTTCTTCCTACAAAGAGTATTTTTTTTGTTTAGAAGCACTGATGTTTTAAGATTTTATTTTTTTTTTTAATAAAAAGGCATTCATAGTTCCCTGTTTTTTTTCCTGAAAATGTTTACATGACACATGAAAAAATTAAGCTGGTAATCAAATACTGTATTATGTCTACCAACAAAGAGCTCATTCAATTTGCAGCTACTTTGGAGAAGGCAGCAGCAACCAACATCACAGGTCCAACACATCTATTCATGAGACAGACTCAAGAGTTACTCGATCATGTCGCAACATTAGTCATGTGTTTAATTTACTTTTAATGTTGCATCTCTGACAAATAATTCCAAGAAAGCAGCAGCGGAATATTTACCTGCTATATTTGCTTACCTCTCTGACTTACAGTTTATTGTTGTGACACAGGATAGACCAGTAATACATAGGAGGCGAAGTCCTTGTGCTTACCAGAAGGAAGTTACAAACATAAAGACACAAGCCCCTAATGCTCACTTTGACTTGAATTGTGGCCTTTGACAAGTCATACAATTAATTATACTACCACTTCACTCATCTAGCCTTATATATTCTACAATATTTAACATAATTTAAACAACATTTATACAGCACACCAAAACCATAAAATGATAGATAAAGGTTTAGTTCAGGTGTGGCACTTAAAAATGCATTTTCTATAATCTCCTTATAATGTCAGCTATAATTCCACTACAGGTTGTAGTTTGTTAAATTTTTTTTATATACACACATATTTTTCTTTCATATTTAACTAGAAGGTACTATTTGCAGAACTTATGTTGGAACCTACCATATTAATTTGAGCTGAGTAATTTTCTGATCTTTTGAACGATTTAAAATTGTCTATAGGTTCCTCTATATAGCATCAATCACATGATTTTTTTCCTGTACCCTGCAGATTGGTAGCCAAGTAACAAGCCACCATGTTACCTGCCCTGAGGTAAGCATCCATAAGCACACTCACACAGTGCACAGCTTTGCATTCAGATACCCCTCCCTGAGAGGTAAAAAAAGGGGATACTATTATTTGCATTTACTGCAGGATTATAGCATGCACAGAAGCACTTAATGCAAACTAACTCTTCCCCACCCCATGGAAATGACAAAGAGTTATTCTCCGTGGTGGACTAAGACCCTGTAGTGGTGAACTACCACCCTTCACATAATGAATTTTCTTAAAACCAGTCAAACCAGCACCTACAGGGACATCAAACATTCAAATCATTACAGCAAGTCCTAGTCTTAAAAATCACTCAAGAGTCCAGGAAGCCAGACTCCACACAAAGCTGGTGCAACAGCCTCTGTCAACAGGTTCATTCAGGCCACAGACACTCACCTGTGCCCTGCCCAGGCACATGCTCATGAGATTATATGAAATTTACAGACTAGGGATATATTTAGGATATAAATAGTTATTCCCACAAGAATTAATGCCAGTTTGAATAAACTTAATTCAAACAAACAAGTGTCCTTACTCTAAATAAAAAATATTCTCAACGTAGCAAAGGTCTTAATTTTATCTACAATAATAAATTATCACCTTAATAGAAATAATCCTGCATAAAAACTGTACTTAATGAATGAAACAAACCAAAATACATTATACTTTTGTTTCTAATACCTTGTTCTTTTCTGAGTTCTCTGCTACTGTCTTCAGGTGTGCAGAAAGAAACTTGAGAGTCTCATAATGATGTTCAGGTAGATCATGAATCTGAAACAAACAATCATTGTCCAGAACATTAAACATTTAACGCTAATTTTGTAGCACACCCACAACACACCTGATTTCAGCTTACCAGTCTCTTCAGTGTTTTCAGGCGTTCAACAGGATCTTCTTTTCTATTAGCGTCTATAAAATCTGCATATTTGTCTGTTAAAAAAGCAGAAATTAATCACATATGTATAAGTTTTTTATATAAGTATATATGTATCTATATTATGTATATACACCCTCAGCCTCCAGCCCCACCTTCCCCTACCCTATGAATACAGGTAATGTGTGTGTGTATTTTATATATATATATATATATAT